TTTTTTTTTTTATAGAGACAGAGTCTTACTTTATCGCCCTTGGTAGAGTGCCGTGGCATCACACAGCTCACAGCAACCTCCAACTCCTGGGCTTAGGCGATTCTCTTGCCTCAGCCTCCCGAGTATCTTGAACTACAGGTACCACCCGGCACAATGCCTGGCTAATTTTTTTGTTGCAGTTTAGCCGGGGCTGGGTTTGAACCTGCCACCCTGCCAGTGCCCTACCCACTGAGCCACAGGTGCCACCCCCATGTGAAAATTTTCATAAATCCTCAGCTATCAGGACCTGTCTGATTTGAGTGTGAAATGGACGCGTATTACCTATAACTGCATGCTTACATTTGCATGATTGTCCATTACCCATCTCTGAACAAATAAAGGAATGCTGAACAGTAAAAAGCTGTCTGTCTGAAACATACTGTACTCCAAAGCAAGTCAAATTAAGCCTCAAATCATGGGCTAAATTCTACAAAAGCTAACTATTAATTGTTGAGTCATCTTGAAATATAGAAAAGAACCTCAAAGAAAATCAAGAATAAATTATTCCCAGAGAATCACAACAACTCAACAAAGAGTTTGTAAAAAGCCTCTTAAGATTCTGTAGGAAAAAGTAGGTTTTATTTCTGCCTCTGATGAAAATCAATACTCATCATGGTGACAAATTAAGAATTTTGCTTTAATTAAGTTTAAAATGATTAATTCATGTCTCACAATCTGCCTTTACTAAGATTTGACAAAGAAAAAGACGCTTTTGAGAACACATTGAATATAGTCTCTATAATAAGGACATAGTATTCTAGGAAAGCACCAAATGGCAACTTTTCAAAAAGCAGAAGTGACTAAATAATACCAGTCACAATTCCACCTTTAGTCAAGAGTCACTACTTCAGATAACAGAAAAATAGCTATGATTTATGAAAGAGAGCATGAACTTTAACCTGGGAAAACTCTATGAGTGCCTATTTGCTATTTAGGACTCAGTTTCCTTTTGCATAAAAAGTGGGGAAGAACTTGGTTGGTGATCCTCAACAGGTATGTGAGAACTTTATGAGAATTATCTGGGGAGCTTTATCAAAACACACAAACAGGGCTCTATCTTCAGAGATTTAATTTAGACATCTGAAGTGAAGTGCAATCATCTTAGAAGTTTGCCATGGTGCCGCATGTAGCTCTGTGACTAGGGCTCCAGCCACATATGCCGGGCTGGCAGGCTGGAACCCAGCTC